GACCACTAGGTCCAAACACCAACAACTCTGTTTTCTTTTCATTAAAATTTAAAAAGTTTAGAGCCAACCAAGCTTTAATGTAAAGTATCAAAAAATCACAAAGTGCTTCAAAGAAGCTAAAACCTAGTCATCTAGGCATGTCATGAGATGTATTATGGAGATGCCACCTTTCTGCTTCAGTGGCAAATAAATTTGGCAGTCATCGGCATAACAATGAAATGCGATCCCAGGCCTTCTAAGGATGGAACCCAGAGGCAATAAATACAATAAAAAGAGCAGAGGCCCTAAAATTGAGCCCTGTGGGACGCCGCATGACAGAGGAGCAGAAGATGATTCGGAACCGAGAAGGCTGACAGAGAAAGTTCTATCTGACAAATAAGACTTAAACCAATTGAGTGCAGTGCCACCAATACTACATCACTTAATCGAGAAATTAGAATATTGTGGTCTACGGTGTCAAAGGCAGCAGTTAGGTCAAGCAAGACAAAAACAACATGGTTACCAGAATCACATGCCAGAAGGAGGTCATTAAAAACCCTTAATAATGCAGATTCTGTGCTGTGAAGGGTTTTAAAACCTGACTGAAAAACCTCAAAGATGCCATTATCATCTTGAAAATCTTTCAGTTGACTAAAAACAGTTTTCTCTAAAACCTTGGAGACTAAAGGCAGCTTGGAAATAGGCCTATAGTTCACTAAAACTGTGTGATCAAGGCCAGGTTTCTTAAGCAGTGGCTGCACTACTGCATGCTTGAAATTTGCAGGAACCATACCAGAAGGCAGACTGCTATTAATAATTTCAAGGACATACTGTCGTATACTAGGAAAAATTTCTTTCAAAAATTGTGGAGGAAAAGGATCCCGAGGGGAACCTGTGGGCTTAATATGGCGAACCACAGCGTCTAAAGTGGAGAGCGTCACAAGTTCAAACTGAGTAAAAACAGCAGTGCGAGGGTCAGAGCTTCAGAGTCAGGAGCTGTGATAAGAGCCCTGGTGGTGACAACCTTTACAATAAAAAAGTTAAAAAATCATTGCAAATATCAGGAGAAACTTCCAAACAGACATTCAACAGTGTCAATGGTCCTAAATAATACACGTGGGTTATGACCGTTGCAGCAGGAACAAACTTGGCGCCGGTGTGTGTGGCTGCTCGTCTGTCATTGCCATCTTGTCAATCCCAACTTAGTCTGATACAGTTTGAGTTTAAATAAAGATGCTGAAGGCTCACAGCAGCTCTTCTACTTCATATAGTGAGAGGAAAGAGGGCATGAGGTGTAACAGACCATATTTATTTCAAGGCTGCAAGACAGATTGAAACAAATACAGTTTTAATTCAACAAAAACAAAACTGTAAGATCATATTGGACGTGTGTTTTACATGATACAGCAGAATAAAAGCACACAAAGCAAACGTTTGTCATTTCCTGGAAAACAACGAGACATGTTCGTGACTCGTGTCAGGAGTTTCCAGCCACAGCTTTTCCCTTCTGACTTTTTTGGTAATAAGCTTTTAAAAAAACTGTCTCAATATTTTAGGTACAATGGTGACGATGAACGTGGAGGGTCTGCAGAGCCTGACATCAGACGGTGCCACGCTGGCAGTACAGCAGGTGATGCTGGGAGGCCACAGTGAAGACGAGTCGGGGGACAGCGGAGATGAGGACACTGACGCGGACATGGCGGGGCTGGGCCTGGACAATAGCAACTCATTGCAGTAGAGGACAAGCACCGCCCACACGCAGAGGACACACAAAATGAGTTCGACAGAACAGAGGTGCGTCCGTTTGATTTCCACAGAGCACAGGACACACTGGGATGAACCCTGCACTCTTCCAAGCCTCCACCCTGCTGAACGGCGGTTGTTGCTGCACGTGTATGTCAGGAGTGTCATTTCACAAACAGTTTTTTATTGTATAAATGATGTAGGTGAGTGCACTTTTTGTATATTTAAGCTCAAAAAGATGAAATCAAACTGAAAAAAACAAGTGTTAAAAACACCTGAGACAAGTTTGTATACTCCGTTAATAAATGTTGACTTTTTTTGTCCCCGCCCCCGTCCCCCCCCCTGCTCCCAGCTAGATTGTCATTTTGGATGAGACCACTTCTGTCTTGTTCTTGTGTCTCTGGTTTGTCTTGACTTTTGCATGCTTGTGTTTTAAGTAGACGTGTGTGCTCTTATGACTGACTCCATGGCTCACACTGCCCCCTGCAGGCAGAGTAGAGCACAGGTGGAGAGATTAAAAGTAAATTAGAGGAGAGATGCTTATTTTTCTATACAAACATATGAAACGAGTGTTTTTTTTGTTTGTTTTTTGGTTTCATTTTTGTGTTCTCCTGTTTTGTAAGAAATATTTATGTACAGATTCATAATAAATGCTGTGACCCTGTTTTCCAGGGTTCTTTTGAAGTTTTCTAAAAAACAGAAAAAGGAATTGAATGCTGATGAAAATTACTATTTAAATTGGTTTTAAGCTTAAAATATTAACAAGGCCTTATCTGTGTTCTTTTCTAAAATAAATCTTACCAAGAAGCACAAAAAGGAAGTATGACCCTTGGAGAAATTGGCCAAAAAGACACTAAACAGTGGAACACTTGTGGCTCCTTAAAGCATATTTTTACTTTGTGTACTGCAGTATCACAGGAACCCTCTCCAGCAGCAAAGCGACTGCAGCGTTCCCGTCTTTGTTTGGCCCACAATGTGTATACCATACATTATGTCTTTTAACCATTTTACAGTAGTAGCATAGGTGTCACTTTCTAAAATGCACAATCCAGAACACTATGCTAACCACACAATCAGGAGGGGTTACGAACTCCATCAATAAGAAGCAGTGGACTTTTTGCACGCATTTAGCTTTTATTTTATGTACACGCTACATACATGCTGTTGCATTGAAAACAGAGCAGCTGGAAACTTGGAGTCATTGCCCTCCTGAAGGAATGATCCCAAGGGCTGCAGCTGCAACCATGACCCCCCGCCCCACTACACACACACACACACACACACACACACACAGTGAAGGATCTGAAAGCTCCATCAGTTTGACATTACTGCACATATTGGGGTGCCTCTTGTTTAAATAACTGTAATGCTGTACTGTAAAACAGTTGTTTGTAAGTAGTTGCAGTAACTTGGTTTTTATCCTTCTTGTAAAGTTAACTTTGTTCATTTGATTCAGCCTGAGGGTTTAATGGCTACGCGTTGCCCTCGCTGAACTCTGTCACCTCTGTCTAGCTTTTTATGAAGCATTCACTTTTCTCTTGTACTTCTCGCTCGTCTGTTTTGCCTTAGAGCTTTCTATTTTGGAATAAATGATGCCTAACTCTGCTGTCTACTGTCTCTTTACTCTTTTTCCATCATGTTCTCCACCAGACAGGACTGCTTCAAAGTCTCTGTGATAATGTGTACAGTTTGTCTCTACAGGTACTTGTTGCCAAATGTGGAGACATGTGGATAGTCCGGTGAGAAGTCACTGTGGGGGATTCAGTTTCCTGTTTTCAGAGCCTCTTCTTTCTGAAATGTACAGAGACGCTTATTAATACATATAAAATGCACTCGATGTTTTAAAACATGCAGTTTTATCTTTACTACAGGCTGCAGTGCTCAATTTAAAATCCTCGTGGCTTTCCAAAGCCTGTGGCTTTGCACAAATGTTAACCATGTTCCTAAACACCAAGGATCACAAACCTTAATGGCTGTTGCACTGAGGTCTGTACTCGTGAAGACATTTGAGCGTCTGGTACTATATCATCTCAGATCTATCACTGACCCTCATGTGGACCTCCTTTTCACTTACAGAGCCAGCAGGTCAGTAGGTGATGCTGTTAACACGGGACTGCACTGGAACCTATGCAAGTGACATTTCTTAGTACTGCTTTGAATACAATCATCCCGCCTCTGCTGCAGGACAAGCTCCCCAGCTGATTGTTCCTGCTCCCACCTGCACTTCCTGTCTGACAGCAGGCAGCATATGAGACTGGGCAGGCACGCCTCAGACTTTCAGTGTATCAGGGCTGTGTACTTTCTCCTCTGCTATTCTCCCTGTACACAGGGTTCGTACGGGTGCATGAAATCCTTGAAAATGCTTGAATTTTAATGTTGTCTTTTCAAGGTTTAAAAAGTGCTTGAAAGTGTAGCTGTATTTCATTCACCACAAATAACTATCTGATTGAATAGTTTTCTTATCAGATAGAGAAATAAAATGAGTCACAAAATGTAAAAGCAAAATTTCCCCGCCTGGCTGCCTTGCGTCTGTTTCAACGTGTGACCCCGCCCCTCCCTCGGACAGTCGGGGATGAGTGCGCTAACATACCTGTAGGTCGCTGTTTTAATGAGTGTTTGATGGAAAACAACAATGGCGGAATTTGCGCTCTCCAGTCACATGATAGGTGAGTACTATGAGCAGAAATCTGTGCCATCAGAAACTGAATTTGAATAAGTTAAATTTGAATCTGAATTGTAACTTGAATAAATGCTTTTGAAAACTGAATTTGAATTAGTCTAATTTGAAATTGAATTTATGGTTTGAAAATGATCATCACTAAATTGAAAATGAATTTTATATTTTGAAAATGAATTCGTTTGCTTTGAAACTGCATTTTATCCTTTAAAAATTCAGCTCTCGAATAATTTCAGTTTCAGTTCTACAATTCAATTTCAGTTCCAAAATTCAGTTTTTTGGAACTTACATCCGGTTCCGGTTCAAGCGTAATCGAGCGCAGAGTAATCGAACTTCGTTTTACTAGCGGACCGCAAGTGGCAATCTACGACATCTTGAGCTGGAGCTGGAGTAATTCTTCTGAAGACATTCGTGATGTCAAATGACCAGTTGAGAAACTTTCAGGTTGGTAATAAATGTATTACATGTATAAGAACAAGCGTCATGTTAACAAATAATACCCGTACAGTAACGTTTATGCATGTTGTAGCTGTTAGCTAAAAACGCTAATTTAGCGTAGATTGCCCTGGGTTCAGCGTTGACAAACAAATATGAAAGACTCCTTTCAATAGAATTCCAAAGTTGTCATCTTGTAGCCTTCCGGAGTCCTCCACACTTGCAGAGGCCCCTACAGTAGGAAAACGTGCAAAAGAATGTCAAAACCATTGCTGTTTGGGTTTACTTATGTCTCACACAGCATCCCAAGTCTTTAGCTTACTTAAAACCCTTAGCTACAGTGTATATTTAGTTGTTTTTTTGTTTGTTTGTTTTTTTCAAACCTTTATTTAAACATCAGTACAATACAAAATGGAATTAAACAGTACCACAATAATGGTGTTGTACTTACAAGAGAATTGTATGCATAGATAAACAAATACAAGAACAGTATTCAGAAACAACAATATAAATATGCTAGGGGGAAAGTAACTGATCAGGCCAAAGAATAAAGTGATTGAAAGATCTTGATTTTTTCACAAACACCAATAGTTTTTATAGCTTTTGGGTTAGTGGAGTTCTTGAGTTAAGATACTGTACAAGTTCAAAGGAGAATACATAAAAAGAGGGATGTCTTCCTAAACATTTGGACTTATGAATATGAAATTTAGCCATTAAAATTAACAAGTTAATCATATATCTGTTATCAAAGTTGAATTGTTTTTGGTTTTTGTGCAGACCAAACAAAACATATTTCCAAAACAGTACAAATCCTTT